TGGTGTTCGGCCACAGCAGGTGTTACACTGACCAATTATCCTGTTTCCAGCACAGGTGATAATGTCCTATAGGTCAGGGAGGCCCACCTGTGACATCTAGGAAATACAGCTCCACCATGTGTTCATTCTGTATATGGATTAGAGTGTGGCTGGTGAATGAATGAGTGACCTCTGGAGTCCATTTCCTGCTGCTTCGTCTTTACTCGGCACAGCAGCTTCTCTTTCTCTCCTCTCTCTGTCCGAGTTCTAAACTAACCTCTCTTTCTCGCCCAAAACAAGACTCTGTGTTGAGCTCTTTTTGTTTCTCTCTCCTTTTCCTACCCTCTTCTTTTGGCCTGTCCTCTTTGTGATGTTTCTTTCCAAACCTGTCTGTTCGTCCGTCTTCCCCCCTTTCCTGCTTTTACCGGAGCAGACAGATCACCACAGAGGAGGGCGAGCAGAGAGCTAAGGAACTGAATGTCATGTTCATTGAAACCAGCGCAAAGACTGGCTACAATGTCAAACAGGTAGCGATTCTGTTTTCTCAGGGTAGTTGAGCTGATTCTACCGTCAAAGTCTACACTTTATTCCTCCTGCTTCCCTTTCTCCTCTCGTGGCACTGTACACACCAGGGTTTTTCCTGCACAGAGGAACTTTTGGCACCAAAATTCTGGAAATTGAGAATAAAAATTGTATTTTGTTACAATATTTTGCTAATAAAGTTACTCAAGTATAATGGACATTTCTGCTTATCAAATGTTCAGAATAACAGCCAAATGCATATATCTCTCTCAACCCAACAGTCCGTTCTGAGCCAGCAAAAACCCTGCGCACCGAATCAGTTGTGTTCCCCCTGCACACGTTTTGCTTGTAGAAGTTTCAGTGTGGTTTCACTTGTTCTCCACAGGTTTGCTGCTACTGTGTTTATTTCTGCTCAAGTACTTTTTTGTCTGATTCACTAAAACTTCCAGCTTTCAAAACATTCCAATGAATATAATGGATTTGCTCAGTGGAGGTGGTTAGCATGGCAACCCTCACTTTTATTGTGCTGTTGTGTCAACCAGCAATGACTATCACATTTTGTGTCACTGCTGTAGCTGCTTCCTGTGTGTGCTTTCATTCGATGAAATGTGTTTTTGAGGAGTGGCTAGTTATAACTTGATCACTTGCTGTCTGTGGATAGACAGTAGGGTTGGGTGATATGATGATATCAGTAAAAACAAATTGCCTGCTATCAATACCTTCTGTACCAGCTCTTCAGTGTATCACTGTATTTGGCTATTGTGGGTGTTGCAAAGAATCAATTACCAAGTGCTTTGAGTTTTTGGACACTGAAGTACAAAAATGATATTTCTCAATTATGTTTAAAAATGGCATGACAGAACATTTAGTCCATATCATCCACCCCTGTTTGACTGCATCTTGCTGTGTATCCTAGTCTAGTAAGACTAACTTCAGATGTGTTCCGCTGTTTAATTCCTCTCATTTTGTTTTATAGCTGTTCCGACGTGTTGCTGCTGCATTGCCTGGCATGGACAGCACACCAGAGAAAAGCAAAGAGGACAGTATCCTTTTCAAGTTTCTCTCAACAGAAATCTTTATACAGTTGTTGAGTCACTGTCAGCACGGCTTTAATGCATTAACTTGTGGAGCATTTTGCAAGCTGGGCATAACCGGTTTAAAGTTTACTTTGCAGAAAACAGAGAGAGCTCACTGATAAGCACGATAGCATCGCAGAAAATACTGAAGTGAAATTTGCAATTCATCGGCTTTATTGCTTAACCAACTTCTCTCAGTGATCGACATCAAACTGGAGAAGCAGCCAGAGATGACTGTAACCGAGAGCAGCTGCTCATGCTAGTACACCTCACCCCCACCCAGCCTGTCTCCTCCCCACCAACAGCTTGTCTCTCAGTGGCCACTCTCTCCACCCTTGGCTCACTGCCATTGGGATGGAGGACCTGTCTTTTTTTTTCCTTTTTTTTTTCTTTCCCTTTTCAACTCAGTGACTTTTCAGAGTAACTGTGTGGATGTGCATTACTGTATTGAAACTGATTATCTGGGGAAAAAATGGTTCAAAAGTAAACATTTAAAACAAGGAATAAGTTAAATGATATGTTCAGATTTTCATCCAGTTGCATGGCATTATATAGGATTGCAGACTGACATAGCTAACCGCTCTTGAGTTATTGCACAGTTCAGAATCTTAGTGCTGTTACTCTTGTTGTTGTAAAGTAAAACTGCTTGGGATTATTTAAATGACTCTGCAAGGTTGAGTTCTCTGCCCATTGTATCTTACTTTTTTTTTTTTTTAATTTCAAATGGAGAGTTTGCCTGAAACTATTCTATCTCTCACACCACTGATTGTTTCTTGACTTTGTCTTATTTTGAGGAAGTAAAGGCAGGATCTTACCAGTGAATTTGCACCATTGCAAACCATCGTATTACCACACTATTGGACCAGTTTATTTAAACCTAACACATCTGAAGGCTTAAACTGCCAAATACGAGAGTGTGTTAGCGGACTGAATTAACTTAATCTCAGCTCATGTTTTAAACAGTGCTGCAAAAGGATGTGTAACAAAGTAATAAGGAAATAGATATCCATTATTATCAAAGGGAAGACATCCCAGATTCATTAGTATGGCTACTAACCTGAAACTAAGTCTGCATTAAAACTATAGCAACTGTCTTTCCAGTGATGTTAAATTAGCTGCACGCATACTAACATATCTGAGGAGGAGTCTTAAGTTAGTCGATTGGCCCTCGTGTAAGAAACTGAAAAAGCCGGTGTTTAGTTTTTTTCCCCCCCCACACTGGTGGAGAGTTGTGTCGCTATGACGTACCCACCATCTCATCGATGATTTGTGTTGTGTTGATTCCACTTTTGCGAGAACATGCAGCATGCTCACCATGCAGGATTTATATGGATAAGAACACAGATGCCTTGCTTGTTTGTTCACCGACGTTGTGCACTGAATCAAGCCACAATATTGTAAAATATCAAAGAAGCCTGCTGACTGGTTCATGGCTTCACTAGTTGTTTTGTAGAGCTGGTAGATAGATGTCCTCAGATACAGCTAATGCTTACTAACCCCCTTGCTGTAAAAAGTGCAGAGAAGTTAGTTGCAGTATCCTTTGCTGTATTGCTATTGCCTGTGTAGGACTGTTGGGTTTTATGCTTTTATTTATTTTGTTACTTGGACATACAGATAACATTGTACGCTTGACCAAAAGTAAAGAGGCTGACACGCATGTGGAAAGTTTATTTTATTTATTGTTTGCGTGTCTGCTGGGGCTCCACCTAAAGGCAACGTTTAGGCGGTTAATGTTTTTTTCCTGTGTAGTCAGTAGCTTGGTTTACAGTCACAGGTAAAGGCTGCACCGTCTCTCCAGGCACACACACACACAACACAACACACACACACACACACGGTGTAATACAAACCAACTAATTAGCCATAGCACAACAAAAGACACTGGTCATTTGCTGTAGCTTGTTTTGAAATGTCAGCTTTTTAAAATGGATTTGAAAGATTAAGTATTTAATTACATCACGAACAACCATTTTAACATGAGCAGCTCTTCTATTACTTGTCACTGACTAAATACTCAGCTTTGTGCTATTCTGAATTGTGTCTGTCCATTTGAAATATGATGTCTACTCGTGTTTAGCAACGTTTGTGTGAATAATGTACTATTACTATCTTATGTATAAAAAGGAGAGTTAATGAAACACAAGTGTAGGCCTATCACATGGAATAAAATAAAGATATTTCACCAAAATTTGACTTCTGCCATCTTTCTTTATAAAGGATACTCTCAGATGAAGCTCCTTTACATTGGTAATAATTCTTTTGACATATTTATTATTCTCTCTCTCTCTCTTTTTTTTTTAAATACTATGCATCAACAAATATCTGCTTGTAGAGTACATCAGTACAGTGAATAATCAGTAGCTCACAGCACCTAACCTAAGGGTGACAAACCTGTCACAGAAGGTGTGTTTCACACGTCACAAAGGTTGACTGAAACTACACATTGGGCAATACATGACATGCATGAAATGTTACAGTGGGTAGGTGTGGCCTAATGTGGACATGACATTGCGTTAAACACATTTCTGACGACTACTTTATTGTGTAGTTTACATTTGTGGACAAAGCTATTGAAAGCATATTATTAAAAACTTGCTGCCAACGTTTAAAACACAGACAGGCCTATTTATACCAGTTCTGTTATGTAATACTGTGATTGTATTTTAAGTCCAAACCTGCTTGCGTATGATCTGCATGTGTGTACAGTATTATTTGTACGTCTGTCTCTGTGAGGACCAGTTTGAGTTTTAGACCTGTGGAGGGAGTACATTTTTGGAAAGTGGGGACATTTTCTAAGAGGATTGTTTTTAGTTTTAAGACATCACATTGTGGACATTAATTCCAAAACACTTATTTTATAAGTACTGTAGAAATAAAGTTACTATAAGGCTATTATTATTATTAATATTAATATTAATATTAATATTATTATTATATACAGACTATGATAGTGAGCTTTTTTTTGCCAGTCTTCCCTGTATTGAAAAGAATGGAAAAGTTAATAAAATATTACCTATTGTGTTTAATATTAGCTCAGTATAATTGGATGTTATTAAAAAAGTCATTGCTGAAACTAGTGGAACCAGTCTTCCAGGATATATTTACACTTATATTTCATTCAAATGTAAACTGTTGAGCCAACTGTACCTGCAGCCATGTTTGTACCTTTAATAAACCAAGTGCTCACTTTCTGATTATTTGCTGAAGCTGAACTCTCCTGGTTACAGTTTCACCGATAGTGACTGCATTATACAGCAGATTCTTGAACGCAAACGATACTTTGACAGGACTAACCTCTCTGCTCCTGTGCGTGTGGGCGGGGCCACGCACACCTGGATTCCTTACGTACTGCTACGTCAGGTGTTTGAAGCTCAGGAATTCAGCACAGAGGGGAAAAAAAAGAAAGAAAAAAATCCTGCTTGACCTGATCGGCGAGCAGCTCGTATAAAGTCGTGTCACCAGAGTTCCACAACTACAGAAACTGTAAATCTAGAGAGAAGGGGTCACTGGAGTCGCTCGGAGCAAAAGTAGAAGGATTTAAACCACACGAATATGGCGAGTATTTTACCTGGTGAGGCGGCCTTCGCTGACTTCAAAAAACAATGTCTCGCAACCGAGAACTGGCTGAAAAAGTTCGACGAGAATGGGATGCAAGTGTGGGTTGAAGTTCCTCCTGCCGTCAAGAAAAACCACGTACCTAAGGTTCACAAGATCAAGGTGAGCTCATTTTTCTACATATATTTCTCCCTCTTCTCTCAGGGTGATCGACTTTGTTTTTCTAAGCCTTCTGTGTGTGTGTGTTTCAGTGTAAAATGACAATCAAAGACGTGTCAGCTGCCACCATGTACGACGTCCTTCATGACGGTCAGTACCGTAAGAAGTGGGATCCGGCCATGCTGGAAAGTTTCGACATCGCCCGGCTCTCTCAGAATGCTGATGTGGGATATTACTCATGTGAGGACTCTTTGCTGTTCTTTGCCCCTTCACTCCTCTGAGTGACCATAAGAAACATAGTCAGCACTTTAAGCCTCACTCACCTTCACCTTTCACACCTGAAGAACACTGACAATTAAAAGTGCATAGATTATTAATGCTATGAATCAGAATGGTTATTTTAACACAAAAAAATCTCTAACTACAAAATGCACAAATTGATAGTCCTCAGTGTTTCATTACAAGGCAACTGGACTTTTATTGGTTTTTGAAGGGTTTTTTTTGGTTTAACTGATTTTATTGTGTGTAAGTTTTTAAATGTGTTGGCGCTTAACTCTTATCTCTTAGACCAGTTTGCACACTGAGGTCAGCCAACCAGATGCTGCTTCATGTTTTAAGGCAATTGAGTGTCTGATCTTATCTCCACAACAGCTTTGCTTTTTAAGTGAGAATTACTCAGGTTTTAGACACTTTTACGTGACAGATTTCATCCGTTATTTGTCTTTTATTCAGATTTGTCTTTTCGTCATCGTGTTTTACTTTCTAATGGGTTGCTTTCTTAATCGTAGAGCATTTTGGGTTTGGGGTGTTTATTCTTATCCCCAAACTGCACTTCTTGGCTCTTTAACAGGCCATGAGCAATTTGATTTGGGGATAAAGATGAATATATACTTAGGACTTTCCACCAGTCAGAGCTGAAGAAACTTCTCAAATAAGAGGTGAAACATCTTCAAGAGCCCCAAAAAGTTCAGTGAGGACAACAAAGCACATATTACGCCTCAGTGTTTGTTTTTTTTACCATCATGTTCTTGATAAAAGCAATGCAAATTGTTAAAATAAAAAATAGAATGGACCTATATTCATTTTTAAATAACCAAATGTTTTCGTTCTTCCATTCAACATTGTTGACACTTTCTGAAGCTGATGTAGCGTTCAGGGATGTAGATTGAGAGGCCTCTTGTTATGCCAGTGTATTTATTGCCATAACAAGGGTTGCACTTGAATGGAAGGTTGTGACAGTGAAACTAATGGAGAAATATAACCAGATTTCTGTGTCTTTCTCTTTTCTTCCTCTGCAGGGCTTTGTCCAAAGCCGATAAAGAACCGAGATGTTGTGACTCTGCGTTCGTGGCAGACGATAGATGACGAGTACATTATCATTAACTTCTCGGTCAAACACCCGGTACGGCTCCACCTCCTCTTCACACTGCACAGCACAAAGCAACCACTGCTATATAAACATGCTACACCTATTGTCTTAATATTTGTGTGCACTGATTCCTTTTAGAACACCTGCTTTACCTACAAACACGTTTACCCACTGTGAATGAAATGAAATGAAAAATACTTTATTTATCCCAGAAGGGAAATTCAATTGAAAGTCTCACATGTATAATCATTTTGTAAAAATCTGTTTAATTGAATTCTTTGCACTTATTCTTCAAACCTTTTTGGTTCGATCACAGAAATATGCTCCTAGCAGGGAGCTTGTGAGAGCAGTTTCCATTCTGACTGGATATTACATCAAACCAACTGGACCAAACAGCTGCACTTTCATATACCTTTCACAAGCCGACCCCAAAGGTGAGACCAGATCCAACTTTTGCTTTTCTTATGTTCAAATTAGGAATTCCTGCTGTTCATTTTTGAGGGGAATCAGTTTTTAAAGTTTATGTTTTTTCTGTAGGTTCTCTTCCAAAGTGGGTGGTAAACAAAGCGTCCACACGTCTGGCTCCTCGGGTATGTATCATCACACAGGAACGGTTCACTGTATTAATGTTAAAGACGTGAAACGAGTATCAGCGTGTCTTGACGGTGTGGGTGTGAGTCCACGAGGTGATTTAAAAAAGTGTGTAAGAGGTGTGTTCACATGAGGGAGTGAGGGTTTCATGTGTCTTAAAGGACAATGGTAACCATGGAAACACAATTGAACGGCCCGTCCCGGTAAGGCTGCTGACAAAGGACTATCTCAGCTCGAGCTCTCCTGGCAGAACTCGTTCCCCGGGTTTCATATCTTCTGCTGATTGAAACTATGCAGAACGAAGCGTATCAACGTACTTGTGTGACAAGCTTCCAGTGAGAGGCTCGTGCCTTTAATTAGACAGAGACGCCGAACTTCTTTACTAGTGACAATGACTTCTGTGAACTAACACCATAAAGGAGCAAAATATCAAAAGAAGAAAGAAAGAGGTCTGTAAGTGAATTAAAAGAAAACACTATTTCAGCTGGACTGTGATCCTTTTTTATTAAGGATCAGAAATAATAAGCAAATCACAGTTCATTTGCAGTTTAGAGAAGATTTTATAAAGTAGCCTTCTGGATCTCGCCTCCTCGCTTTAATCTAGGAGTTGTGACTATTTTCATTGTCCTTTTGTGCCAGTTTTTAAAATTGATTTGACTTAATTAGCACATTTAAAACAGCAGACACTGAGCCCAAGTGCTATCAAGTAGAGAAATAACACTAATATTACAAATGATTCAACAGGATTTAGTATTTAGACCCTATGATGTTGTACTATACCGAATCATCTGACTAATTTAAAAATTCGGGTTTAGATCCTACAGATGTTTGCATGGAAAACCCAACAAATCCAAAGATTCCCTTTGACCAAGCCTGATCCACTAACCATTTGGCTTATCAGGCTGAGAAAGCCAGCAGTATTTACATTTGAAATCCTGTGACTGATTAAATTTTCTGCATATTGACAGAAAACTGACATGAAAGAGACATAAAATCACCCACAGTGTCCAAAATATCAGCAAACCAATGCTGACCGTTTAGTTTGATGAACCGGTTCAGCTCGCAATCTTGAAGTCAAGAATTTGTGCTCGCTGCTTATGGCAAAGTATTATACTTTTATTCGCAGTGAGTCAGAGCGCTCTAACTACTTTTTCACAATCTGTACCACTCATCTGACTGCTTGCAATTTAATCAGTGTCACACAAGTGTTTTGTGAGCTGCTTTATCTTGGGCTTTGTTGGCGGGGAACAAAGGCGTGGCGTAACCCTCATTGCCACACTGATAATCACATCATGTCTTCTGCGTCCAGGTGATGAAGTGTGTGCACAAGGCGGGCCGGGACTACATCGAGTGGAAAGAGCAGAACTCCCCTGACCAGAAGCCGTGGCTCTACCCCGATCAAAGCACGCTGCCCCCCATGGACCCCGCTGAGCTGTCCATACAGAGGGCCGACTCGCTGGAGAACGTGGATGAAACTTCCAAGGTGGAGGCTCAGGACAGCGAGGACAGCAGCTGAATCACCTCGCGGCAATGGGAGGAAGGGTGGCCATGAGGGGGAAGAGTGTGGGAGACAGACTGTAAATACTCAAAAAAAAAGAAAGAAAGAAAGAAAAAAAGACTTGAGACCTCCAGCCCTCTGTGAGATCACCCGAATCCTCCACTTCTTCACAAATCAGTGTGTGCCTTTTGGGATGAGCAATAGCATGAAGTGTTTACAACTGTCTTAGCAGATAGAAATGAGCACAGATCAAGTTCACCTCAGTCCATGTTGAAGCTAAATATCTGTCTAGTGTTCGCCACCACGGTGTCATTACATGTGCAGGGTTAGAGGTGTCGGGAATGTGACATTGTTACAGCACTACATTTACAATGGGTCCTCTGTCGGGACGTTTTTAGTTGCAGCTACGTAAAATACACAAAAGTACAGCGAAAGAAGTGACACTAATCATCCACCAGTGGTTCGTTACAAGTGACTGTGAATGGAAACAAGATTAGGTATTGTAGTTACAGTTAGGTTAGTTTTTTTCTGACACTTTCTTTTTGTTATAAAAAATAATTAAGACACTAGAAAATTTGTTTTTCCTTTGGAGCCTGTATTAGCAGACACTCGAAATAGTCGCCATACCCTGTTAATGTGTATTAATATGTTCAGATTGCTTAAACGTAGTTGGAAAGTTGGAAAGGTTTTTGGGTTTGCGCAGCAGCTTCGAGTCTGTCTTTCAGAAAACAGTTTTTGAGCTTCATGCAACCAGTCACCACGTTTGCAAATGATGCAGCTTTTATATGTGAACATTCTATCGTTGGCCCAACGTTTAATTTATGTGCACAGTTTAGAGAGCAACTTTGCCGAATGTGTGTAACGAACAAGACTTTTCGGAGGTTTGTTGGATTTTATTCAGATGTGCAATCGAAGCATTGTGAGGTATGCAGATGCTAGACTTCCATCGACCTTGCAGTGAGATGAGAATGAACATCTAGTTAGGCTGTATTAACAGAAAATGTACATAGCAATATCACTTTACCTGAAGGATTGGAATGACCATAAAGGGTATCTTTTATTTTATTTATTTATTTGAATTTATTACATGTTCAGATGAAGTCGTGATGGAGAACAGGCCTTGGAATGAAGCCCTGCAGGCTGAGATCCTTAGTTGTTTTTTTTCTTTAAGATATTTAATGTTACAAATGTTGCACTGTCTTGACTGTTTTTTAAAAATAAATCTCACAAGGTTAACCTGCTTTAGTAATCGCTGTCATTTACTGCATTCCTGTTATATGACAGTCAGTCTCAGGAGAAACCAACCAACAAAGTGGAACAAGTTTTGCTGCTTGTACCAGAAAAAACCAGTTCATGTCCAGCTCTGGTGCAGGTTCTCCAAGTACACAAACAAAGACAAAGGCTACTAGAGTTCAAAACTTTTTGTATCTTGTTAGTTTATTGTTACTTTATGAAAAATGTTTCAGGTCATTAAAAAAAAAAAATCAAATAGAAAACCAAACAATATTCCTTTTTCATGAAAGTGATGAACAAAATAAGCCAGTGTTGAGATGCAGCAGACAGTTAACCCTCACAAGTGTTTACAAATACATGAATGTACTTTACAACATTAAAACCACCTGTCTATTGGATAGGTGCCCTTGTGCCATCGGGCCATGAACACAGGACCTTCAGTGGTCTCCTGTGGTATTTGGCTCTGGTGTGCTGGCAGTGGATCCTCTGGGTCCTGTGGGTTTTGGTTTGAGGCCTCAGAAGAATCTCCATGGATCAGACTTATTCCAGCACATCCTGCGAATGCTTGACCAGATTGGGATACGTGGCGTTTGTAGGCCACGTCAACACCTTGGGCTCTTTATGTTCCTCAAGCTGTTCCTGAGCAGCTCTTGCAGTGCAGTTTCCCAGCAGATTATAACAAAACGATCCATGACATCCAACTTCACTTGTGTTCCTAATGTTGTGGCAGATGAACATTAAAAAGCCTAACGCATTGCGCTCCAGAGGCATTCATCGGTGTTCTATGAATGTTCCAAAGTATGCAGATTTACTTGCCAGCCAAAGGTTGCATTTACCGATTTTACTTATGTCCAACCACAGAGACCAAAAATTTGAAAGCACCAGGCTATAATTAATTGGATTGAAAACCTGCAAACCTCCGAGCCTCCACTGCACACAGATAAACACTCCATGTCAAGCCCTGCCGCTGCACTGGGATACATGTTCTGCAATTTAATAGCAGGCTAAAGGTCATACTTAAAAACAGTTTGGCACCTCTATACAGTTTATACATGAAGTAACAACAGTATAGTTCAACCCAGGAGCATTATGTATGATGTATAAAACATAAAAACTACTAGACAATATTTAAGTAATGTTAAGTAGTCCTCAAGCGCAGTCATTGAAAAGTATATTTACATAAATTATTTTATACATAATTACAAATAATTGTTAAATATTTAAAAACTGATGTACAATATATTCAGTAATATATAGATCAGTGATATTTAAATCTTACCAGAAGTCTTGCACTATTAGTCTTATACTATGAAAGGTCTATGCTGTCTCTGTACTAAATGTGTCAGTGTGTACTGAGATATATGTCTCTATTTTATATCAGTGTGGGATGAAATAATCTGAACTTTATACCACATTTGCAAGTCATTAGAAGAAATGTATAACCAGGACTTTGGGGGGAAATGTGAGAAAAGGCTATTCTGAATTAGGTATTCATATGCTAAGAATGTTACGCCTAACTAGAAAATATTTATCAGTGCTATTATGTGTCACTAAAATGTCTACAAAGGTTCTGCTTACACATTTCCGCATGCCAAAAAGCTATAAAAGTAATTTCCTGCGAATACCTCCTGATGGAGTCGAATTCATCATCAATCAGTGCAGATCAAAGACAGCATGCGTGATCTTTGAAACTGGGCCTTTGACAGAGTATAGGTTCTCCTTACGTGGTGGACTTTGATGGAGACTGTTAGTCATACATCAGTCATCTTGAAGCTGAGACAGATTTGAGGCCAGAGTCTGTGGGAGGAAGGTAATGACGTGCAGTGAAGTGTCCGTCCACCTCTCCTTCTCTCTCTGCTGCCACCTAGTGCACAGTCCTCTCCTTTTGCCTTTGGTAGTCTGAAATAAGAACAGACAAAGGACATCATTACAGGACTGAAAGGGGCCTTGTTATATAATCTCCTACCAGGATGATTTAATTCAGGGACTCTGAAGACAGTTTTTTTATTGTGTCTTGTTCAAGACATGCAGCCATGTAGTTATTATGTGGGTATTGTAACATACTGGTCTGTGCCTGCTTCAGGAAAATTGGCAAATTCTTAAAAGAAGCACTCACAAGCCACTTTAATATTAAGTATACCTGAGACATTCAATCACTTTAAATACAGCTGTTCTGCCATACTTTTATTAAGCTTCTACACGTCTAGTTTTTGTTGAATTTGACCAAAAAAAAGGATGGCTCTTCTAAACATAATGCAGTCCAGAACACCACCATCATCTATTACATCCAGGTTAAGCACAATTTTATTTGGGCTGAATGTAATTCCGTTTTATCTCATCTTTTCAGAAATATTAATACTACACAACAACAACAAAATCTCAACTGTTTTCTGATGCTGTGAGAAAGTGTATATAACTCTCAAGCCTATTTTTTTCTTTTGCAATACAAATTTTGCATTAAAACAAGAAAATATTACATTTCTCTAACTCTCCTGAGGCATCTTTACAATGGGCTAAACCAAAAGATATGACCACATAATATAAATGGTAAAGACTTACTGTAAGGAAAGAAGCGAACCCTCATCAGGATTTCTCGTGCAGTCTTTAGAATCTCTACAGCCTGCAAAGGAAGACAAATGTTATTCTTGATTTGATTTTTTTTCTACAGAATGTGTTTTTTATACCTCCTCAACACGGTTACATTTGCATATATAGCATATGACACAGACACATTTGTATGGACTATATAATGCGCGACTGTGATTAGCGAGCAATGGAATTAATACAACACTTCCACATTGGTTGCACCTTAATCAGGTATTCTTTGTATGCACAAGTGCCTCAGCAGTAATGCTTTAACACGTATGTTTGACATTTAAATATCACAATGGGAATTGAAATGTGTAATTAGAATGTCTCTAAAGAAAAGTCAATTTTACACAAATGTCTGCAAACGTTGGTGATATATACATCCAACTTACAACATTATAAATTATTGCAAATCTAGTCTTAGGCGATGAAAGGACCAAGACACAACTGTGAGCTTAATGGCACATATTGTTCGTCACTCCAAGAAGGTATTCATAGTGTTACACTACATGCATATTGTGCATAAAGCTGTCTGACTATCAGTCAAATATTTTTTAAGGATTAGAATATTTTACTTGCTGCACAATGAAATGCAAAAATAATGTTTTCAATTGCTTTTGATTTTTGCTTGAAAATTAAATTTAAAAAATCTAAATTTGTGCTCAAAAGGAAAGGACTTTTGGCATGCTTTGCATCCAAGACTGACTGAAAATATGTCACAATGTGTGTCAGTAGTATAGTCCATAAAAAACACAATAACATATGTGTTACAACTGCACTTTCAACGTGTTCAGAGTACAGTGAAGATGAAGGAGCGTAAGTAAAGTCATCTGACATTTTTATACATGCGAAGAGAAAATGATTTGAACAGTCAGGTAACATGAATGAAAATACTGTGAAAGTACACTAACTTCATCCATGTCACTATAGTCCATCATTCATAGACACTCTAAAATGATCGGCTGCATTAAGTCTGTACAGATCTCAGCTTGACAGCACTGCGCTAACTTACTCTTGAGTGCTCTATGTCTTGAAAATCAACCTCATTCACAGAAAGAACCTGGTCCCCCTCCTGTAGCCCTGCTCTGTGGGCGTCTGAATCTGGAACCACCTGCCAACACATAATATACACACATGCAAAAATTATAAGACACAGAGTAGACATTTTTGAAAGGAAAACAACTAGTCAGCAGCATAGCACGTATATAAAACTCACACCAAACACCAGGCCTGCTCTCACACACCTTGGATATAAAGATTCCTAATTGTGACGCCTTGCCCCCGCGGATGTTGAAACCCAGCTGTGCTCCTGGCGGTTTCTTCAACACAATGGTGCGAGGTAGGAACTGGGTGAGCTCATTGTTGTAGTCAGGGTGATGAACCCGCTATATATGAACAAAGAAAAGAAGAACGTCTGACAATGTACCATCAGAATTGTGAGTCTGTGTTAGATTATTCCTACATGTCATATAAAACAAAATGTGTCATACGGGACATCACATATCAGAGGACAAGCAACATATTGAGCATCATAAGTTTGGTAAATAAATAAATCAGCACCAAAGTTTCACATATACTGAGCCTGAAAGTGAATTTCTTTAAATCAGATATCTAGAAATATTACATTGACAACAAAAAACAATTGTCTTCAATTTAAAGTCGGTGTGAATGCCTACTTGATTAAACTGAGCCATGTACAGACTTCCAGTCAGGGACTTCGACCCATTTCCAGTCAATGCAGTGACTAGTTTTGGTCAAACGGTGGATGGTGTGTGTTTCCAGTATTCATGAAGCCTTTTTTTTTTTCTTTTTTCTTTTTTTACTGACAAAGACACAAGTGAAACAAACTACACCCAACTCTCTGTGAACATCAAAACCAGTCAAAATAATGACAAAGAAAAAGGAGTTAAAGCCAGACAAAGCTCAAGGTGGCCACCAACACCGGGAGTCCTATTTAGGTTCTCTGCGTATGACCACCCATTATCAGATGACTGGATTTTCATATCCCATAATAACATCTGTGCCATCACAAGTGAAAACCCTCTATTCCCTTATGAAGACTTTAAGATGCAATTGAAAGTTTCAGAAAGAACAAATACTAGACCTCTGTGGACCTTAACTTGACTTTGGTTACATCTGTTAAAGTTTTATATGGGTTTAAACCCAGAGTATGGTCTGGGTTTAATGTGGTATACCTCCTGCGGTGGTATCCATGCTGGTGGGTTCTCATAAGAAGGCAGGAATACCACTGGGAGCTGGTAGTCATCATAAGGAATTTTCTGATCCATTCTTACTGAAAACACCTACAGAGAGAGAAGTTGTACATTTATTTTTTAAAAAATCAAAAAAACTTAAGAAAATAGGCAGTGACGTAAATTATGCATTTGCCATAAATAGACAACATGCATTCAGTTTTTTAAGAAGTTCATTAACTACAGTGCTACTATATCTTCATCACTGCCGCTCAACATGAGCATGGCGGTCCAAATAAGTTTTGTTTAGGCATCTACCCAGGAAGCTGTCCCAGTCTGAGGGCAGCCTTTCAACCAAACATTATTCATGGGACAGTGTGTGCTAAAGGTTTACAGTCTCGAGCGCATGATTCGAGGCTACTTGGCTGCTCCAGAACCTTGATTCTGTGGCAAGACATAAGTCACACAATGGAGGCACTAGGGAGTTGCAGTTTGGTAGTTGGCCGTTGACTCACTATGAGTTTTTCCGACCTTTGCAGATATTGTTTTTGGTTCTACAATGTGTCTACCCACACATCTACACTGTTTGGAATCAAACAGGTAGGCTGAGCCAGTTTGATCGCCAGCCATAAACAGGTAAACAGGTAGTACCAGGTTACATATTTACTGGTAGTGTCAGTTTTACTGACCAATATGGCTGGTTCTGGATCAAGCTGACTGACCTGACTCACTACTATATCGTAAGGTACAATAAAATACATTACTTTTGTAATATCTAGGACTTTTTTCTGACTGTCAGTTATGGCAGATGTAGCTATATTGAGACTGGTTTTATTAAGGTAAGAATATACAACAATGTTGATATACTGTACTATTAACATTAACAGAGTATTGGAATATAATTGTACTCTCAGTAGCAACACTACTCATGCAGAATGTTCCGTGTCAGAATAATGTATAAACTGCAGGCATCACCGCATTATATTTACTGATACATTATTTAGTATATATCACTTTGATGCTACAGCTGGTATACGTAGCATTACTTGTAATTACTTCAGAGTTTACAGCGGCAGAATCTGTCCTATTTTAAGCTATCACAATACCACAAATTGTATTTTTGCATTACATTTAGTATTCTTACGTGAAGTTAGGCAGCATACAAGTACAAGAAAACCAAGCAACAAAACCAAAGCATAAAACCAGCTAAGCTAAATGTAATTGAATGTCAGGTGTGTTCACAAACTTAATGTGTATTCAAATACAGGACTACTAATAAGTAAAAACGAAGCGTTTTAGCCAACACTGTATGTTTCATTGCAGTAATATTCAAACCGGTTGCTAGCTAACAACGGTTAGCTCGTTAGCTAACTTCGAAACGGGCACACGTTGCTCTACTAAACCCCGAATTACTCTGCCATTCATTATTAACGCGTAAACGACAAAATAAAGGTACTGTACAACTTTTTGATGAAAAAACACAGAAACAGAGCCATAAAACAACCAAAAAAATCCTCTCACCTGCCAGTCAAAGATAGCAGTAGCTCCTCCTGTATGAAGCAATAACTGGCACTCAGAGCGCCACCGCCCCTGCTGCTGTGGAGGAGTCACTGCAGTCCAACGACATCAACCGTGTGCTGATCCAGACTCATTTTTGCGAAGAGCTAATCTGTAATATGTTTCACGATAATGCATGGGCCTACATCATCTTGACAAAGGACAGCAACATTTACAAAGTGTGCTAAATATTTTTTGGGTGAAAGTCTCTTGTATCTTAAAGCCATAATTATTATCACAGTACCACAATAACTATATTTGAAAGCTTTATTCATTACTTAGTGGAATGCGCTGAGAACAAAATAACATAAAAATGATCAATGTACTCAAAATTAGTATCCCATGGAGGTCTGGATTTGGAATCATACTCAAAATAAAAGAGGAAAATAACAGGCGGATCCAACTTCAGTGGAAATTCCTCAAGACAAGTCAAAATGAGGTTCAGCGGTGTGTGTGTGTGGCCTCCATGTGCTTGTATGGCCTCCCTACAATGCCTGGGCATGCTCCTGATGAGGCGGCAAACGTTCTGAGGGATCTCCTCCCAGACCTGGATTAAAGAATCAGTCAACTCCTGGACAGTCTGTGGTGGATCGAACAAGACATGATGTCCCAGATGTGCTCAATTGGATTCAGGTCTGGGGAACGGGCAGGCCAGTCCACAGCATCAAAGCCTTCATCATGCAGGAACTGCTGACACACTTCAGCCACATGAAGCCCAGCATTGTCATGCATCAGAAGGAACCCAGGGCCCACTGTAACAGCATGTGGTCTCACAATGGGTCTGAAGATCTCATCCCAGTACCTAATGGCAGTTAGGGAACCTCTGGCTAGCCCATGGAGGGCTGTGCAGCCCTCCAAAGAAATGCCAACCCACAACATGACTGACCCACCGCCAAACCGGTCATGCCGGAGGATGCTGCAGGCAGCAGAACGTTCTCCACGACATCTCCAGACTCTGTCACGGCTGTCACATGTGCTCAGTGTGAACCTTCTCTCATCTGTGAAGAGCACAGGGAACCAATGGCCAATCTGCCAATCTTGGTGTTCTCTGGCAATCTCCTCCATGTACTGGACACTGTGGTGAGAGACACAGCAAACCTTCTTGCCACAGCTCGCATTGATGTGCCATCCTGGATGAGCTGCACTACCTGATGAGCAACTTCTGTGGGTTGTAGACACCACCTCATGCTACCTCTAGGGGTGGGCGCACTGACAAAATGCAAACGTGAACAAATATCATCCAGAAAGGATGAGAACAGAGGAATGGTCTGTGGTTTCCACCTGCAGAACCACTCCTTTATAGGGATTGTCTTGCTGATTGCCTCTTATTTCCACCTGTTGTCTGCTCCATTTGCACAACCGCAGGTGAAACTGATTCACAATAAGTGTTGCTTCCTAACTGGACAGGTTGATTTTGCAGAAGACTTGGAGTTACAGTGTATTGTTTAGGTGTTCCCTTTATGTTTTTGAGCAGTGTATCTTGAGTGTATTTACTTGACATAAATCAACATATAATTACAGATCAGCTCACCATTCCTATCCCACATCTTTAACTGTAAAAAAAGCACAGCACTACACATGTTGACAATTTTCTATAATTAATCCAGTGCCAAAATAAAGATTACACACTTACATACCTCCTGCGATCTCTCATGTAGGTATGGATTTCTTTCCAACTTCAGCTGACAACTACAATAAACTGTGCAGCCAAATGTCATATATGTCTGTATTTGTTATTCTCAGTTGGACTGTAGTTTCCTAAAATTTAGTTATGAACGCAGACTGATGAAGACAGCAAAAAGCTATTGAGGGATGCTGTTCAGTGTTTCACGCAAGTTTCAAGTCTCTGCAGGTTTCACAGTGCAATTAAATGAAAGAAAAGCTCCGCACTGATTGGCAGGTATGAAAAGTGCATACCTGATACACAAACAAAAAAACTATGACAAGTTTGAACGAATGAGCAGTGATGTAAATCATGGAGTTTGCATTAAATAAAAAAAAAAAAAAAAAAAAACATGCATTGTTCAGTGTCAGTCTTCTCTTTAGGTTTGGTTCCATAGCTGCAGTGCTCCTACATGCAGAGTACAAGTAAATGCATTAGTTGTACAATATGTAGGACTTCTGTACGAGTTCTGACTATCAGTGCTGGATTGTTGTACTAACTATGGCCTATTTTTTTTGTCCTGATACATCCTGGTGTATTCGTTAATTAGATTAAGTATTTTTACCTAAAGTTGAACAGCATGGAAATGCAATGATCCAAATGATCCCCACACTCACCCGTCACAAGGGAGCAGAATATAACCTGTTGGACACAAAATTCCGCACATATGAATGCGTTTGTGCGCAGCTGCCGCACCCAACGTGGAGCAGAATCTGCAGAAACCCAGAGGAATGTTCACTTTTTAGAGCTTTTCTGAAGAAGTAATATTATGTAACAAACTTTTTTTTGTCTTGTTTTTTTAATCGGAGTCAGCTAGGAAAGTTTTGCTCATCAGTTTCCTTCAATAGCATCATCAGTTATCATCATCAAATTTTTAATAGATCTGATTTAAAGTCACCTCGAGGAAAAGAATCATTTTCTCTTCCCACAAGCTCAAACCTATCAGTCAGTGGCACACTTTTGATATATATGAGCCAAATATTCCAACCTGTAAGCAACAAGTTTTACTGCCTGCATGAGAGAGAACGAGGAGAATCCTCCCTCCCTCCCTCCCAGTCTGGGCTACACCTCCTCACCCCGCCTTCATTAATGTGGATCTATTCACATTCAGTTCACAGACTCACTGCATGTGAAAGGGATGCGAGAAAAGCAGAGTGGAGGCAAACAGAGTGGGTTTCCCAAGAAGAGAGTTCACTGCATCATTTAATGACCCAGTTTGGTTCATGGTGAGCACTCTTGGTTTGTTAGATAGATAGATAGATAGATAGATAGATAGATAGATAGATAGATAGATAGATAGATAGATAGATAGATAGATAGATAGATAGATAGATAGA